TTTGGTTTTACGAGACAGGGTTTCTCTGTATTGTTTTGGAGGCTGTCCGTCCAGCCCGGCCTCGAACTCACAGACATCTGCCTGCCTCTGCCTCCCGAGTGCTGGGATTAAAGGCGTGGGCTACCAACGCCCGGCCTTTAGCAGGAATTTTTAAAACATGTTACTACGTAATTTCCCCTCTAAATATACTTTGAGATGCCCCAATGCTAGTTACTTTTAACTGTACACAAGATCTAGCTTTTTATTTGGAGAAAACAGTCTTGTTTTAAGTTTTAATGCCACTTTTAAAATACCTACTCATTGATGTAAAGTGCTAAGTTTCATTACACCATAGCATTAATAAAAATGTTCAAAACGTGGTTATTTTGAGTCTTTATTTCTAGTTCCATTTTGATTTATGCATAATTATCCTTGAATAACATGAAATTAAATTAGAGTGTTCTGCTTCATAGCCTAGCATCTTTTTGGGGAAAATTCAGGGATAAAATAACTCTCTGACATCGCACCCTATTGCTATTAAAATAGAACATCACAGTATTGTTCCTGTGAGCTTACTCGTTCAGTAGCTAAGAACCCATTTAACGGAAAAGAGGCTGTGCTTCAGTGCTCAATTCTCAGGCATTGGCTCGCCGTCTTTCATTACTGAAATGCCTAATCAAATGGGAAATTTGAGATTTATAACATTAGGAAATACGTCCACTGAATCTACTGCCATGTATTTAGTATTCTTGTCAGCAATCTGGCTCTGCGCCTCTCGGATTCAGGCTGAATATGCTGGGTCCCTGGCTAACTGATGTGTAAAGGATGTGAGATCCTTTCTAACCAGGATCTCAACTTCAGAATTTCAGGAGCTACAATCTTTCCAAAAGTATACAATTCTTTTTAATTAATTAATTTCTTCATGAGTGATCTGTCTGCATGCATGCCTGCAGGCCAGAAGAGGGCACCAGGTCCCATTATAGATGGCTGTGAGTCACCATGTGGTTGCTGGGAATTTAACTCAGGACCTCTGGAAGAGCAGCCAGTGCTCTTAACTGCTGAGCCATCTCTCCAGCCAAAGATACAATTCTTAACACTCTTCTGGTACTTCACTGTTTTCTGAATTTAATTTTTCCAATGTTCACAGGGACTTTAAAAATGACATTAGAAAAAGAAAAAAGCAGGCAGTGGTGGCGCATGCCTTTCATGCCAGCACGTGGGAGGCAGAGGCAGCCTGGTCTATCAAGGGCGGTCCAGGACGGGCTCCAAAGCTGCAGAGAAACCCCGTCTTGAAAAACCAAAAAATGAATAATAAATAAATAACCAAATAAAATATAAAATGACATTAGGCTTTTTTCATGTGCCAGGGAGATAGTTCAGCAGATAAATGTGCTTGACACCAAGACAGCCTGAGTTCAGTCCCCAGAACCAATATTGTAGGAAGTTCAAAGGGAACCAACTCCTAGCTTCCCTCTGACCTCCATACACACACCAAACTTGAACATAAATGAATGCACAAGTTTTCAAATGAAGTAGAAAAGTATGTTTTTGCTGGGTGATGGTGGTGCACACCTTTAATCACAGCACTCAGGAGGCAAAGGCAGGCAGATCTCTGTAAATTCAAGGCCAGGCTGGTCTACAAAGTGAGTTCCAGGGTTCCACAGAAAAACCTGTCTGGAAAAATTAAAAAACAAAAACAAAAACAAAGGCAATTAAGGTGAATGCCGGGGGGGGGGGCTTTTTAGTTACCCATGTTCTGTGATTCCAATAAGCTCTTTGACTCATTAAGCTGGACTTGGGTAGAATTCTATCTTTGACTTGTTATTGATGCCCTAACTAGCGTGAAGAAATGTTTGTGTATGTCTCCTAGGAAGTCACATTCCACCAGTAGTAAGTTTTTCCTCATTGCCCCTTTAGAACTGCGCTATGAACACATTTTTTTCTCAGCACCTTGAATGAAATTCAGTAAAATATATTAAAGTAGGCTGCATTTGACACCCAACTTTGCCTGTGTGTATATCATACTTTATTCACTAATGACCTTCAAGAATAGCCTTTCGAGGACAACAGAAAGGAAGTATGAATTCAGGAAAGAACCTTTAACCATAAGCACAAGCTTCATCTTATCCTTTCACTGGGATGATGACAATGTTCCACACAGGTCATTTTGTCAGTCTGGGCCCCACGAAGAACCAGTCCCAAGGCCACTACAACAGATGTGGCCCGGCACGCTGCTGTCGGGATGTGGCCCAGCACGCTGCTGTTGGATGAGCAGAGCAAGTAGCATTTGTTACCGTGTGCATCACTTAACATTAGTTCTTGTGTGCTTTCCCAAAGTGTCAAAACAGAAAATCTTGATTTGACATGTTATTCTCTGCTGTTCCCTTATGGTTCACTTTCTCTGGGTTTACCCAAATGGAAAAATTTCAGAGTTTTGACTCACAGTGTTTGAAAACAACAGCAACTTTTGGAATGTAGAGCATTTGTATGGCTCAGTACCACAACCCAGTGTGGTCTCCATAAGTCCCGCAGTGCCTGCAACGCTTCTTTAGAAGTGGGGAAAAGTCCTATCTTTAAAGGTGTCAGGAAAAAACCCTATACCAAATATGTAAGTTAGCGCATCTCTGGCACTATTTTTGGTTTTCTTAATTAGATATAACTATTTTAAAAATTCTTATTCATTTCTTTATTCTACAATCTCCCAAATCTTAGAAATATGCAAATCACCACAATGTCAAGTGAATGACAGACCTATGTCTCAGTCTTTTTCTGCTTTCCTGATTAGAGTATGTATTATGCCACTGTCCTAACAGATAGCTATTATGTATTTTTGAGGGTTTAGCATCCTGTTGTACAATGGAAAAGATAAAGGATAGAGTTCTGTAACTTTCCTGAAGCTGCTGAGTCTTTGGATCTCAACCAGAACACATTTCTGCTTTAATACTGCTTTCCTTGTTACTTACAGTAAACGAAAATTAGACCACATAACAGACCACTGCAGCAGTCAGAGCTTCGTACTACTCCTTGATGAAAACCATCAACTGCCACATATATTTGTGAGCAGCGGAAACAAGTTTATATCACTTAACTAGCTGGTTCTGTGTACTGTTCAGGAGCAGACACCACGCCCCCTCTCCCCCCAGTCCCGGGATGAGAGCTGACCTTGACAATGACGGTGCGGTGGTGGCAATGGGTACTGACCAGAAAAGCAAAGACGCGGATGGGATGAATGCTACATGTACCCCTCCTTCCAGACTGGCGGCTCCAGGAACACAGACATTTTGTTTGCAGGTTTTGTTTAGTTTGGGCTGTAGACTTACTGTGCGTGTGCTGTTTACTGTTTACATCCTCAAATCTGGCTGAAATGGCCATCGAGTGTTATTAACAACAGACTGATCCAATGAATACCGTACATAAAACCCTACATCGTCATCTCTTTTTTTTTCAGAGAATCCTGTCGATTCAAGCAGGCTTCTGTGGAGTCACTGCAATGCCTAGAACATCCATATGTATTGTGAGACTTATGCCATCCCATATAGTCCAAGGATGTATGGGCTATTACCTGCTCTGAATTCCGACCCAATACACAAAGGACATGAAACCATTTTTATTAATCCTATTTAGAAAAGAATTGCTGGCCAATTGCTAGACAAGCTTGTGGAGTTCCTCACCCTCTGACTACACCCTCTAAAAGGGTATTCTTTGAACTCTGTCCTCTTAGTTACGTCTTTATTCCCTTTCTTCTGTTTTCTGAGGAAAGACCTATGCAGCCTTTAAAGCAAATTTACTGCATAAATAAACGTGGTTCTTTCTAATAGTTTTTTTGTTTTGTTTTGCCACTGCTTGTTGTATTTGGTTCTGTTTTGTAATTTTCATATAAACATCCTGACAAATAATATGCCATTAGGACATGTACAAACTTCTTTTACAGAATCTGGGCCATGCAACTTGTGGATTTTATGACAGCTAGACTTTGTTGTCAGCACTGGGGGTTGAAACTAGGATACCACACAGGAAAAGAAGTGACCTGCCCTCGAGCCAGATCCCCAGCCCTTTCCTCTGAGCCTCACTAAGCTGCACAGATTGACCTTGAACTGGCAATCCTCATACCGGTCTCTCAAGTAGCTGGGTCAGCAAGTCTCTGGCACTGGCTTGACTCTTCAGATTTTGTGTATATTTAAAATAACCCTTTTGGGCCAGAGGGGCAGCTCAGATAATAATTGTGACCAAGGCTGACAGCCCTGAGTTCGACCCTCAAGAGTCACAGCATGAAGGGAGAGAAGAAATCTTTGCAAGCTGTCCTCTGGCCTCCACACCCCAGTTGTGGTACACAAGTGCCCCCCTCAGCACACAATAAACACATACTAAAAAAAAACCACCTTTCAGTCTTCTATTTTCTGAAGGTAACTCTCTTAATAGCGCTTAGCTTCTGCAATTTTCATATACAAACAGCGCCTCATGCATTGTTTTGAGTTAAGGCTTACAGGCTTGAACGTAAATTTTCACTGTTACAAAAAAAAAAAACACACATCGAAATGTGCTGGCTCACAAAGCTGTGAATTCCATCCAGGGCATATTCTGTATTTGGGACTCACTACAAGCCCCAGTTTTCCTGTGTCTCTCCTCGGTTCTGACTAGATTAGGGTAACCATGGCAGTGTCGCAAAAGCCACGGGATAGAATTTAAAGAAACGTAAGTCTTCCGTCGTCACCGTCCGCGAGGCGAACCCCTCAACAGGAAGACACGGAGGCGAGGGGAGCTGGTCCCCGGCCCGCCGTGCACACCCGAGGGGCCGGGGCGTGTCGCGGGTGGCTCCCCCGCAGGTCCTCGGCACGCCCGTGACTTTACAGGGTCTCCCGGGGCCGGGGCCGCCCGTGACTTTACAGATTTCCCGCGGGGAGACCCGGGATCCCCCCACCCCCCGCGCCACGCGAGGACGCCGGGCCCTAGAGACCCGGAGGCCGACGCGAGGGCCCCTTCGGGAGCCCGCCCCGCCCCGCGAGCCCCCGGCGCGTCACTTCCGGCCCGCAGCCATCCGCTTCCGGGTCGGCCCGAGCCGCCTGCTCTCGGAGGCTGCTGGAGCTGCTGCCCGGCCGTCGGCGGTCCCTGCCCCCCGGAGAGCCCGAGCCGCGCTGCCCACCTCCAGCCCCGCCCCCCGCCGCCGGGAGAAGCGCCGCGCCGTCCCGGGCCGCCCCCGAGGAGAGGACACCCGGGGCCGGGGCCGCCGCGGGGTCGCGCCTCGGGCCAACGCCGCGGTCCCTGGCAGCGGGAGCCGGCGCTGCGGCGGAGCGCGGACCCCCCCGTCCCCGGCCGCCCTGTCCGCCTCGCCCGGGGAAGGCGGAAGATGCCAGTGAAGAAGAAAAGAAAAGCCCCCGGAGTGGCAGCGGCGGTCGCGGAAGACGCGGGCCTCAAGAAGTGTAAGATCTCCAGGTACCGGCGACCCCCGCCCCGCGGGGTCTCCTCCCGCCTCGTCCCTGCGGTGCGGGCCCGGCCCCCGGCGGCGGCGGCGACCGGGGCGGGGGGAGCCCTCTCCGCGGCCGGCGAGCAGCTCGGCTCCGCTCCCTCGCTCCTCGTGTGTGTCCGCCCGTGCGTGGGCCCCGGCGGGGCGGGCGAGCCCCTGAGGGTCACCCCCCACCCCCGCTGTCGCCGGCGAGCCCCCGAGGCTGGGAACGGGGACGGCCGCGCTCCTCGCCCCGCGCCGCCCCGTCCCCCGCGCGGGAGAGCCGAGGGGCTGGCCGGGCCCACGCGTTGTTAAATGTCAGGGTGTGAGGAAGGGAGCCGAGCCTGGGGACTTCTGACAGCTGCCCCGGGGAGGGTGGACAGGAAGCCCCCGGCCTCCCGGGGACCATCCCAGCGGGAGCCCCCGCGCCACCCCGGCCGCCTCCCCGCGCAGGGCTGCGAAGTCTCCGCTTGCTTTTGGTTTCCTAGTCTGCGGACGCCCCTAGCTCCTCGGCCAGCTTCTGTGAGCTACTGTGCTGTGCGTTCTCTTAGAGGGCGAGAGCCCTGTGCTCCCTCTGTCATCGCGGGGCACCCCTGCGGAAAGTCACCGCAAGTTGGCTTTAAGAAGTGGGCTTCCTCCCGCCCGCCCACCCGCCAGGTGACCCCCTGAAAGTGCTGCCGTTAAAACGAGAGAGCCAGCACTGCACAAAGGAAACACCTGTCTAAGAAGAGGTGCAATGAGAAATAACACTGCTTAAAATAGGAGGGAGGTGACTTGTTTAGTCCTCATCCTTTTGCAAACAGTCGCTTTCCTTTTCTCGGTGTGTTTTAGCAAAAGAGCCCAAGTACTATTTCCTGGGTGATTAAATGTGATAATTTTCTTTATACCTTTTGATAATTATCATTCTGCTTGACATTTACTAGCTGTTTTTGAGAATCATCTAAGATACTTAAGCCAGTTAAAACAGTTGAAGGGCAGTATCATTAGACTTCAGGTGATTGGACCTAAATTATAATGTCGGGATTTCCATACAAATCAGTAGCAGAATCGCAATAAGGCTTTTCTGCATGCAGTAAGATATATATATATATGTCTTAGTGGGAAAGAACAAGCCCAGCAGCCGAAGTGAAGCCCTCAGTTCAGAGAGAGAGATTTACACTTTCTTTTCTAGTCTTGGATTGAGACTTAGGCTGCACTTCTGAGGAAACAATTTTAGTTACTGTTCTTGGAATTTGGTAGCAAGGAAAGTAGCATTTGGGTTTTTATTGGTCAGAAATTCTTATGCTTACAGTACAAGTCTATACTGCTACTTGCTTCCCCCATAATGCCAGTTTAAAAACCACTTTGTTTCATTTGCATGGAAGCAATTGTTTTTCACTAAGACATGAGAGACTTAGTGAGTCCTAGACATTTGTGTGTTTTCTAAGCTATTGCAGATCCCAGCCTCCTGCTAGACTAATCAGTGGAGAGGAAGATTTTTCAAGAAAGAAGTGCCTGGCTTGGTTTTATGAGTATGCAGGTAATGAAATTCGTGGAAAAAGACACTGGTCATGTGCATTTAAAAGTCATCTTCTTCTTTAAACATTATTGCTTGCCTGTTATATTTTAGTACCGTGTACCAGGATTAGGGTCAAGGCTAAAGGGTAATGAATCGGCTAAGAATTTAGTGCCATTCCAAGACTAGTTTTTCCTTAAATCTGTATTTGGTAGGAGAGGAGAAATTATTTACTGTTTGTGTACTAATATAGCAACAGTTAACAAATTGAAAAAGTATTCTGGGAAAGAGGTGGGTAAAACATTTTATTTGTTTTGATTTTCGAGGCAGAGTTTCTCTAATGCTGACTGTCTGGAACTCATTCAGTAAACCAGGCTGCATTAGAACTCAGAGATCCACATTCTCTGCTGGGATCAAAGGCGTGCATCACCACAGCAGCTTCATAAACCTTTGCTATTCAGTATTCTAGGAAACAATATGCAAAGCATTTTTCTGTTCAACATTCTCTATTTTTCTGAACTAGAAACATGTTCTGAAGCTCTTGAGGTGGTATGGCAAACAATTTAAATTTCAGAGATGATGCACATTTGCCCTTTAATTTTAATTTTTGCAACAAATACAATAATAAAAACAGAATGATAATACTGAATATTAAGTAGTAGATCTTGAAGATACATAATTGAAAGGATACAAAACCCAACTTTGAAAGTATCAGGAGAATCATCTTGGAGAAACAAGCCAAGCTCAGCTGAGCCTGACAAGTGGTTGATGAAAAGCTCTAGGTCCACAGTGAGGCAAACCAGTGAACAAAAAGCCATGTTCCTTGCCGGGTGTGGTGGCGCATGCCTTTAATTTCAACACCCAGAGGCAGATGGATGTCAGTGAGTTGGAGGCCAGCCTGGTCTACAAAGAGTTCCAGGACAGCACAGGAAAACCCAGTTTTGGGGTGTGTGTGGGGGGAGAGACTCGGTATGGGAGGGACACAACTTATTGCTAATTTCTTCACCAGCATATATGACAGTTTCCCCCTGATATTAAAGCTATTTTTTTCTCCTTCCTGTCTTTTACCTGCTTTTATTTTTTCCATCTTTTATCATTATCATTGTCAAAGGTATTTGCTTAAAGTAAAAATACTTTGTAGTTATTACCTTACATTTGTACTAGCCATGTTAAGGCCTAAAGTGTACCCTCTTAACTTACAAAGTTAACTGCATGGAAAGCTACACTCCTTTAAAAGGGGGCATCAACTTCACTATTGGGATTAGCAGAGTGATCCCATTTGTATAATTTAAAATTGTTTAGTAGCAGAATAGAATCTTTCTAGATCAGGGGAAATAAATGCTATTACTGGTATCCCTAGACAACCACTAACCCAATTTAAATATAGAGAATTCATTTTCTTACTGACCTCTATTTAAAGTGTTGACCCATTATTAAAAATGCCAGCTTTACATATACTATAGAATCAAAAGGTTCTCATCTTATTTCACTTACAAAGGTTACTAGATACCATAAAGATTAATTTGTGTGTGTGTTTCTTTTGTTGTTGTTGTTGTTTTTATTTATTTATTTTAGGTTTAGGTCTTATTGAAACTTCCCTGGGTATTCTAAGATTTGAATTCAATATTTATTTCCTATTCTGACCAACGTAATAATTACTGTCATTGTTCCAGGGATTGTGATAAGTATATCATTTTCTTTATAACCATCTGTCAAGTAAGAGATGTTATCCTCATTTTGTGAATGGAGATTAACTTGCCAGTGATGATACAGTCCAAGAGCCAGGATTCCAACCTTAGTTGACCCTCAAGACAAAGTTATGCAAATGGAAAATCGTTTTTACTTCTGAAAAAATGTTAGTAAAGTACACTTGAGGTTATCTTCTGTCATTCAGTGAGTCATTTGATGAATATTTATTAAACACTTGTCTGTGAATCCAACACTGGGATAATAATGAAAAAAATCAGGACACGATCCCTGCCTTCAAATGTGGCTTCTTGTGAGGAAGAATGTGTATAGGCGAGGAAATTACAGCTTATGAAACTCATACAAGTTTCAGATGGTCCTTAAGGAAGGGTGTTCAGAATCTATTCTGGCAGAAGCCTCCTTGTTAAGGGATCAGTCATCCTTCATGGTGGAGACAAAAGCTAGGCCCACTCAGAATAGATGATACATGCAAAGCCTTAGCACACAGTACATGATGTCAGAACTGGTAAGTTAGGCAGTTTACCTTTAACAGCCTTAAAGCATCTTGGTGTATGCATGTGTGTTAACTAATCTCTTGTGTAGGTCTTTGTTAAGGCACTGTAACTAAGCACGTTTTGGTTTTTGTTCTGAGTATTTATTATGGCATTATATTAATCATTGCACATGTACCTGGAAACATGTATATTTTTACATAAAATAGGGTGGTGTTTCCATGAACCCTCCTTAGAGACATGTGATCGCATATAGGTTCGTTACAATTGTCTGTAAATGCTATATAGAATTTGAGTAGTGGTTAGAGGAAAAAAAGCCCTTTGTGTTCAGTACAGAGGATTCTTTATCTGCCAGATGCTCAGATGCTGTTTTTTCTCGTTCTTTTAGACAGGGCTCACTATGTGGCCCTGACTGGCCTGGAACTTGCTGTATAGACCACTTTGACTTTTTTTTTTGGTTTTTTGAGACAGAGTTTCACTGTGGCTGGGCTGTCCTGGAACTAGCTCTTGTAGACCAGGCTGGTCTTGAACTCACAGAGATCCACCTGCCTCTGCCACCCCTTCCCCCCACTCCCAGTGCTGGGACTAAAGGCAAGCACCACCACTGCCACATTGACTTTTTGTTGGTGGTGATGGTGGTTTTTTCAAGGGCTACACAGCGTTTCTCTGTGTAGCCATGGCTGTACTAGAACTCAACTCTGTAGACCAGGCTGGCTTCAAACCCACAGAGCTCTGCCTCCCAAGTGTTGAAACTAAAGGTATATGCCACTATGTCTGACTACCTCGAGATATTTTTAGTGAGCAGCTTGTTGAATTCATGGATATACAACTTAATATATAGAAAGCCAATTGTATATTAGCCCTCTATGGGGAAAACGTAGAGATCATTTTTTAATCTGTCACAAAGAATTAAAAAATATAGGGTTACATGGTCTAAGTACAATAAGGTGAGCTAAATTATTTCCATGACTGATTAAATTGAGTGGAAATCAAAGAACTTGAAAGAATTAATTGAATTCACTTACATCTTACCCAGTTGTAGTTTTATGAGAAGGCTATAGTTTAAAGGTATTATTGAAACTCATTCAGAGAGTGAGTGAACTTTGATAAAGTCTTTGCTTTACACTGAGGCCTATTCCATTTTTTGGGGGTCTACATAAGATCTTCTGTATGTTTTACATAGAACCAACTTTAATTTCTAAGTGTGTGTTAACATCACCTTATGATCACATAGTAGATGGCTATATTGCATTGGCTTTGTGTTGTATCGGTAACGTAGTTATTGAACTGTGAAATGTACCTGCTAAAATTAGTTTAGTCAGTGACTTAAGTCTGTAGGGTTTTGTTTTGTTTTGATACAGGGTCCTGTGTAGCCCAGGCTAGCCTTTAACACTTAAATCTTTTTGCATTTATTCCCCAAGTACTGGGATTATAAACTCGTGTCGCTTTGACTAGCTAAAGCTGGAATGTTTTCTAATTGTTGAAGAAAGGAAAGTTAAAATGTACAAGGGGGACACAGTTTCAAGAAGAAAACTGCATGGTCTCTCTCTTTTTAGGGATCTAGATAGACAATAATAAGTACATTTGTAAACAAGCGTATATGTAGAGACAGTGCTACACGTAGGGACTGTGTGACATGTAGAAAAGAGCAAGAAAGCCTGAACTATCAGGGAATGAGGAAGAATGGAGTGAAGGAAATAGGTATGTTATTTGTAAATGGAGTTTTTAATTGATCTGGGTAAAAACACCCAGAATCAGATACAGAGGGAAATGCTGAGAGATCAGAGAGAAGGAGCAAACCACAGCACACCTTATCTCCTTAGCATCTCAGCAGACAAGAGATGGATTTCCTGTTTCTCCCTACACCTCACTTCCTGTCTGTCTGAACAGACCTCTATGATTGGCTATTGGCAAGCTCCATTCTCTGACCTTCAGACAGGCTTTATTTGAACAAGCAAGGTATCACAGTCATTGACAGAGAATATAAATAAGACTAATTGTTTTTCTAACTCTTCTTATGGGGTTTTTATTTTTTGGAGGTGGATAAGTACATAAAAATACATCCAATAGTGAAAGTAAAAAATCAAATGTGAGGCTTTTGGGTGCTTTTCCAACCAAGAAGTTCATACAGATGTGTAGATATTGGCCTAGTTAGTTTTAATATCATGTGTTTTTTATTTCAAGGGTTTCTTTTTTTAAATAATAAGGAAAATAGAGACTTTTGGAGAATGTAGCATTGTTTCAAGACATTTTTGTAGTGATAGATATGTCATATTTCAAATCATGACATTTGTTTTAGGTCACTTCTAGGCACAGGAGAATTGGCAGTGATAGTTACTCTATTTTGTGAATCTGATAACCAAAAAAAAAAAAAAAACCAAAAAAACCAAAGTTCAAGAGTTACATTGACTTTTAGTGATCTAGTTTAAAATAAGAAACAAAAAAGATAATTCAAACACCATATGCTTTATAGTCTTACATTGTCAAAAGTTTTATTCAGAATAAGTTCTCAGTAGATTTTTTTTTTTTTTTTAGTAAGTTTGTGTTGGTTTGGTTTGTTCTTTTTTGAAAACTACTGATTTATACTAGTGGAATATTTCTTTACTGCTCATGTGAAAAATGTTCCTAACACACTCGGTGTAGTAGCTCACACCTTTGATCCCAGCACTTAGAGGTTGAAGCAGGCGATTTTCTGTGAATTCTAGGCCAGTCTGGGCTACACAGTGTTACCTAAAAAAAGAAAAGAAAAAAGCCTTTAGTTCATATTGAAATATATTTAAGGAATAAAAACTTTAAATATTTATACTTTTCAGAACTATGCTAAAGTTTAAATTCACTTTTTTGTTAAAAAAAGGATATTTTCATGTATATCTTTTGTGTAATAGTTTTATTAGTGTTCATAATAAAGTGTAATAAAATATATGAATTATTTTTGTCTTTCAAGGTCCTGATGAAGTTGTAGGGCCAGAAGGAATGGAAAAATTTTGTGAAGACATTGGTGTTGAACCTGAAAATGTATGTTTTATTTCTAAGTAAAATGAAATATAAATGGATTATAACATTTTCTTAAATTTCTAAAAACTGAGGCTTTAACATATAGATATTTTTCTTCATGTTTGATATTGTAAATTCACACTAGGGTTTTTATTTTATTTAAGATTTGTTCATTTGTTATGTATACCTTGTTCTGCCTGCATGTATGCCTGCAGACCACAAGAGGGCACCAGATTTCGTTATGGATGGTTGTGAGTCACCATGTGGTTGCTGGGAATTGAACTCAAGACCTCTGGAAGAGCAGCCAGTGCTCTTAACTGCTAAGCCATCTCTCTAGCCCACACTAGGGTTTTTTAAAATCAGCCTAAATTGGTCAAGTTGTCTCTTGATACAAATACAAATTGTAATAGAATGAGAGTCAACATTCCTAAATGCTGCCTCAAGACTGGACCATCTCAGCTATTTCATAGTGACAATCTAGAAGCTGTTTTGTCTAATAGTCCACGACTGGAAATAATTGTGTAAGACTGTTCTCCCTGATGAATGCAGCCACGGTCATTTCTGACTTTTCCTTGTCCTTTATGTGCTCTTCTTTTCAGATTATTATGTTAGTTTTAGCGTGGAAATTGGAGGCTGAAAGCATGGGATTTTTTACCAAGGAAGAGTGGTTAAAGGGAATGACCTCATTACAGTAAGAACATTTTCTAAAAAACAAATTTGGTGGCCTATTTAAAGATCTTGTTGACATTTTGTGTTTCATCGTTTTCAGGAATAAGATTTCGCTTTAAAATAATAAAATTGATTTGTAAAAATCATTTGGGACTGGCAAAACTATATATATATATGTATTTATATACATATATATATATTTTTTTTTTTTTGACAAACGGAACCTAGGCTAATTGAAACATATTGAGTCATTTCATGGGTAAACTAGAAATGGTCAAAGGATTAGTTGTTGACAGGTTTATTTGAGTAACAAAAGTTTTTCCCCACTCTAAGAATTTCATCACTGGACAGTTTTAGGACTGCCTCACTTCCCTTTGTAATAAGTGTAAAGATACAGTTATACAGTTCTTTAGTGAGCTATTTCCTAATAACTCACAGAGGATCAAAGTAGAATTTTTTTTGGCTCCCGTAGTTATGTATGTTCAGATGGAGATGTCATCCTGAAATATTTTCATAGATTTCAGGATTCCTTCATTATTCAGATAATTCACTTTGCCGTTCTAAAGTGTTTAATTTCAATTCAATTAGGAATTGTGTGGTAATTTTCTATTATGTCATGTTCATAATGTTCCATCAGAACGTTACTCAGCATTCTAAAATGTTTTCCTATTTAAAGCATTACCTTACTGTTCATTTGTTTCCGGTCACTTGAGATGGACCACACGCTATTCCAATGCTCTGCAATACAACCACATCCCTAACCCAGTTAAGTTTAAGGCAGACACTGCACTATTCACTCTAGAGTTTTCTGGATTGACTATGGTTTATTAGCACGCGTAAACTATCCTTAGTTCTTATTTATCTATCCCTGAGTTCTTAAGAAAGGATGTCTATTTGCTGACAAGGCAGTGACATTTTACATATTTGAATTTTCATTGTCTATTGTTTTATTCTCTTTTTAAACCATTTATTTTTTTTATTTAACTTTTTATACATGTCACTCTCAGTTCCCTCTTCTTTCCCTCCTCCCCCAACCCCCTAATCCTTCCAACCCCCCACCCCACTCCATCCTCCCTCACTACCCAGGGAGGGCAAAGGCTTCCTTGAGGGATTTTTCAGAATCTGTCACATTGTCCTGTGTAAAGAGAAGCCTTTTCCTTGAGAGAAGCCTTCCCGCCAGCCTGGTTCTAGAGCCGCATCAGTCCCAAATAAACACACAGGAGTCTATATTAATTATGAAGCTGTTGGCCTTGCTTGTTTCTTACTGGCTAGCTCTGACTTAAGTAATTATCCCATAGTTGCTAATCTAAGTATTTCTCTTACCGGAGAGGTTTCCAGGCTTCCTGCCCCATGGCGTTACATCTTGACTTCCTGTGTTTCTCCTTCCCAGAGTCCTCCTGGACTCCTAGTCCCACCTATCTTGATTCCCTATTGGCCAACAGAGCTTTTCTCTGACACCCAGGTTGGGGGGGGCGCATACCTGGATCAGTCCCATGCTGGCCTCTCAGTCATCAGTCTGGGGTCCATGTGTTCCCCCTTGTTTAGGTCAGCTGCCTCTGTGGGTTTCGCCAGCCTAATCTTGATTCCTTTGCTCATCACTCTTTGCAACTGGGTTCCAGGAATTCAATTAATTAAACCATTTTTTTAATTTCTTTTTTGTGTGCTTTTTAAACATGTTAGTGTGTATGTATGAGCATGCATGTGTACATGTGTACACCGGAAAATGTCCTATCTTTGTGTAACTGTGATAAAATTTGTTGGAAAGAGGTTAGGTGGGGGATGTGGCTAGTAGATGTTCGGTAGGTAGGCACATACATACATACATACATACATACATACATACATATCTAGGTATATACACACACATATTCATTCCTTGGGTAAAACCCTTTTCTCAGATGAACCCAGCCATAATTTCTAGCTAGCATAGAACTTACAACAAGTTTTTTCCCATTTAATTTATAAATAAGTAGTGTGAAATGCAAAACAGTCAAGAAAATACTCCTTTCATGTATGGATTGTTTAAACCATTATCTAATTTTATAGTATTTTACAGAGAAGAGTAAATTCTGTCATGCCTTAATTCTAAGGTTCTTTAAACTATTTCTCACCATTTATTAGCTTTTAATAAAAAGATTATGTAGAAATAGACAGAATTTAAAAAAATTTACTCACTTTTTGTGAAGCTTCATCTGGCTTATTAGCATTACCAAAATGGTAAAAAATATTTTGATATTACAGTATGTTTTGTATTACTATTTTTTATAGGTTCCTTTTGGGAAGTTTTAACTAATAAATGATTTTATATTAAACAAAAAAGTTCCTCATTGGATTTTTTGCATAGATAATACAATATAGAGCTTCTATGTTTCAAAATATGTAACCAGAAAATGTCTTATATTTTTCCTGAATGATTAGTATGTGATCTTAAGTACATGCAAAAGATTCAATAGCCCATGAGCATGGTTTCTGTTGTCATTCCTACAGAGAGCTCACAAACTATGCAAACAACCCCAGAAGTGTGTCTTAGGTATCATCCCCTGACCAGGTGATAGAATAACATAGTCTTGAAATTTGCCTGAAGAAAAGCAGTTTCCCTTCCCTGTGGTTTGGACTGCCATGCAGAGTACATGCTTTCTTCCCTAACTGGCCAAATTTATTCCTTCTTTAATCTTATAGTAAACTTGTAGTGAGATAGTTTATAACTTAAAATTTAAGATAGGAGATGCAAACTAATCTACCTTAGTATAAAAATGGATAGGTATTAATGTATTTGATTTAACATAATAAAATATAAAAGTTTTTAGTCTCTATTTCCTGTAAGATGGTGATGATGTTGTCCTAGAATTTAACCTAAGAATTTCATGGTCTTCAAATCACCAAGATAATTATCAATTGAATTGTTTCAGCTTACTTTTTTAATTCATAGAAATCTTGAATAGAATGCCATTAAAGAACAATGTGATAGTTGCAACAAGAATATTGAACTAAAATAATCCCAACCAATTATCTATATTGTGTAATGCTTCATAATTTTTGCAATACTTTTTTAAACATTTGTCTTGAGGCTATACTTATAGATGTTCTATAAACGACTGTCCATTTGTATGAAATAATTTGTGAAGCACAGACTTATGAATGTAGGTTGGTTGTTTTATGTTTCATGGTGTTTAATCTGGTTGTTAGAATCTTAAGGTATATAACATGGCCAGGGTGAATTTAAAATTCCACCTATGTGGAATAATATTGTTAAAGTATTTGGTACTTTATCTAATTTGAGGAAATTTGAACCATTTTTTTAATATGCTAGGGATATTGGAAAATGATCCTCTTTTTTTTTTTTTTTTTGAGACAGGGTTTATCTGTAGCTTTGGAGCTTGTCCTGAATTTGCTCTGTAGATCAGGCTGGCCTCGAACTCACAGAGATCCATCTACCTGTCTCTGCCTCCCAGTGCTGGGATTAAAGGTGTGCAGCATCACCCCACCCCTGGCAACAATCAGATTTTTGAGCTCAGGAATCACTCAAGTGTTTTGCGTGTGTGTGAGTGAGTGTTCTTGGTGTTTTAGGATCTTGAGAATTGATGGAAGCTAAATCTTGTCCTTGTTAAGATACGCTATCCTTTACCCACACCGTTTCCCATGTTTTTGGGATGTGGACCTTTATTTTTCTCAGTCTGAAAATCATAGATAGCGGGTAAGTTTTTCTTCTAGCATATTAAGCTAGATGGAGAAAGAAGTTCTGCCACGTCTGCTAGCTAAAAATTTGGATGTTGGCATACAGGTTAAATATGCTGGTGGAGGAAACTTGTGTTTGTTTGTTTGCTTTGGTTTTTTTGTTTTTTGAGACAGAGTTTCTCTTTTTTGCTTTGGAGGCTGTCCTGGAACTCGCTCTGTAGTCCAGGCTGGCCTCGAACCCACAGATACCCACCTGCCTCTGCCTCCTGAGTGCTGGGTGTGCGCCACCCCCAACGCCTGGCTGGAGGAAACTTTTGAAGGGATTGTGCTTGGTCATAATAATGAAGAGCAGTGGTAGTAACCATAGAGGTAACCATGGTAATAATAATGACAGTTAACAGTCAAGTATTGTAGTAAATTTTCTTCCAGAAAGGACCATGTTGCATATTTTCTGGACTTCATTTAGACACTTGGACTTTGTAGATTAAAGGGAAAAAGACTTATTTGACTGAAGCTTTTTTTTTTTTTTTGGCTTCTGCTTTTCAAGACAGGGTTTCTTCTGGTCATCCTGGAACTTGCTTGTAGACTAGTCTGGCCCTGAACTCACACAGATCTGCCTGCTTCTGCCTCCCAAGTGCTGGACTAAAGGTGTGTGTCACCTCACCTGGTTTATTGAGTCTAGGAAAGGTAAGGATGGGGTGTTCACTTGTGTTGTTGTTGGTTTTGTGGGCTGAGGGTAGTGTGGATAGAGTGGTGTGATAGGTGTGGCGTGGGACTCCCCTTCATTTGCAGTTGAAGCCAACTGCTGATTGCCGTTAGCAGTCCTCTTTGCTTTCCCTAGTCAGTCTGACAATTTCAAAATGCCTTCCTCTACATTCCAGTACCATGAGCTGGTGAATGTGCTGTAGGGAAGGTCTGTTATATGTATGTCCATGTGCCACTCCATGGTCACTGGGATTCACACATAGGGAAGAGAGCCTCACTTAGATCTGCCATATAAATGAGCTTTCCTCTTGGTTAGAAGACTTTCTTGACTTACTTTTTTCCAAATCTTTATATTGAAATTGAAGCTCATTCAAACCACCATGGTCTCTGGGAATCTCACATTAGCAGGAACCAAAAACTCTCTAAGGTTTTATTTAGATGCTACTCAAAACATGATCCTGCTGTTCGTGATGGACTGTTTAACTATATATAAAGTTCTGAGCAGACTGATATTCTGAACTACTGAGTTTATGTGGGAATTGTGTGTTGATAATTGCCTGGTTATGGTTACTGGTTTTGCTGGTTCTGTTCATACACTTGTAATATTGGTAATAAATACAGAGCTGCTGGCTCTGTCCTCAC